GCATACAGTATGCGTCCTGACGGGTGTCACTAATCAAGCGTTAATTGATAAAGTAAACTGTTCACCAGAAGATGAACTTTTTCGACCAAAATATGTTTTGCAATCCGTTACAGATATTTTAAATATTTTAAAAGAATAAATTAACTGTTCTTACCCTCTTGTTTACTCCTAAAATATTTCTCCTTAGTTCGTATGTATTTTCATGTACCATCTTCTAATTAGCTTACTCAGATTTTGTGATTTACATTGTTCACTCATTATGTTTTTAGGCCCTTCTTTATATTTATATAAAATAAGTGCTTGTAAACATAGAATTGAATCTTAGCAAGACACTTTTATATGGCTATATAAATTATTGTCACTTTTCTAAACTGATATACTGCTATTTTTCTGGCAGTGATATAACAGCAGGAGAATAAAAATTATTTTTGGTTTGTCAAGTTACATTACGATTATACGAATGCGACCGCCTGGCTAGATCGATACGCTATACACAGACTGGATCATGTTACACCACATGCATGATTCATGACGAAAGATAAATAACTAAAGTGTAGATTAGGCAATGCTTTATTCAACACAATTACAAACAATCTAAACTTATTGAGTTCGGAGTAGAAATCAATACTAGTAAGAGAAACTACATCTACAAACCAACACTAACCCATTCACCAGATATTTGGGGATGAGCCGTGCTTTAACTGTAAGGGCTACTGAAATTATTCGGTTCTCCAAACCTAAGTAGATGAAACCGGGTTTAAACCAAAGATTTGGTAGCTGTTGGTCAAATGTCTCAACCACCACTCCTCGGAAATCACATATTTAGTAGTTAGTAAACTAAGTGTTTATTTGTCCATGTTTAGGGGTTAATCCTATCTTCTAAAAGCACACATCAGTAACTAAGGGAATTTTTAAACTTAGTGCTAAAGTTGATCAACTGGGTAACGTATCTTGAGTAAAACTAAAGTACATTAGGATGATATCAAGTTAAATGTTTAGCGGTTTTACAGTGGCTGTTCAAATATCAAAAATAATTAAAACTAAAAATTACCATTAGGTATTAAGGCTTTTGGTCAAGAGGTCATCACTATAATTCAAAGAAAAGCTCTTCATGCTTTCATAAATTTAACTATCACAGCTATTAAACTAGCTAAGATGGTATTCTCTTAGATGTATACCTGAACGGTCGAAAATGAAACATACGGTTTAGTTGATTAGGTGGTTGTTTTTTTTTGTTGTTTAAACTTGATTTCGTCATCTAACTAGTAACTATTACTTTAAATCATGTGATTACATCAATTAGATTTTACACATTTTCTTGGAAAATTCATTCCGTTTCTCTATGTTATACAAGTAAATAGATAAGGATATTCGTCCGTTTTTCAACATTCAATAAGCCCATGATATCTAGGATTTTCGAGTAGTTTTCCATTCATGTAGTAGGTGAGCGCTACATATGAGTGTATTTTCTGCTGGACATTTCATTTCAAGCTCCTGAAGTTATCCACATCTAGTTGCTATGGTCATATCATTGTAGCGTATCCCGAAATACTGGAAGAGAACCACAAATATCGTAAAACTTGGGGCCTCAAATAAAAAAAGTTTTCAGTGGAAATTACGCTCTTATATGCTACACTTCATTAGCTGGACAGGAAGATGCCGGATACCCTACATTTATCGAACACCGAAAAACTGATGGATAATCCTATATACAAAAACCTCATGCAGAGTGAGGGCATACAACCACCTTTCTCAGTTGTTCCATTCAAGGAGTGGGGTTAGACAGGGTTGCCCAATATCACCATTCCTCTTCAACTTTGCCATCGATGACATTCTGGAAACAACTCTGATGGATGTAAGTAATGGTTGTGTGAATCCGTTGCCTGGAGAAAGACTTCTCAACCTTGAGTATGCGGACGATATTGTCATATTGTGCGATAATGCCCAAGCCATGCAATCCGCACTTAATCAGTTGGCAATCAGTGTCCGTAGGTATGGTATGTGCTTTGCACCTTCAAAGTGCAAAGTACTTTTACAAAACTTGCAGGATTATAACCCTGTACTCACCCTGGATGGTGAGTAGGTAGAAGTAGTCGAGAAGTTCGTGTATCTAGTTGTTGTATAAATGCGAAAGTCAGAGCGGCCTATGCCAATCTGGGCCATCTTTGGCGCCTTCTTGATGTCAGTCTGGCTGTATAAGGTCGGATCTACAACGCGTCGGTGAGAGCAGTTCTGCTCTATACTTGTGAGACCTGGTCTCTCCGAGTTGAGGACGTCAGACGACTCTGTGTTTGATCATTGTTGTCTTCGAAGGATTGCTGACATCCAGTGGCAATACCATGTTGGCAATGAAGAGGTTCGGCATCGTGTGTTCGGGCACAGAGATGATAATTCAATTGGTGTCACCATCTTGAAACACCGAATTCGGTGGCTCATAATAGAAGCCAGTGGCTATCCTGGTGTAACCTTTTACTTTCTTCATTAAAAATGGTTGTATCTTCCTTAACTGAAAGATTTCTTCGAGTTGTACCTTTCCGGTTCCCCCATTATTATCATTATCAAATCACCTTACAGTAATCTGTTTGTTAACGTTCTTTTTTTTACGCTCCTTGACTTTTTTTTCTCTTCGGATTCTCATTGTCTTGTGTGGCGCATATATATTTGATGCCCTCTTGTACCAATATTTATGTGTTAATATAAATAAATATTGTCTTTTTCATCTATTTTCATATTGCATTTTTGAAGTCAATGGTATTACATTTAAATTATGAACCGATCATAATTAGACCAGCGCTGAAAATCTGTAGGCACTGGATGGCCGTTTTGTCTTACTATGGGACTCGTCAGAGGTACATGTAGTTCAGAGTGAAATATTAAAACCGTTGAATACGAACTCGACGGTTTGGAGGTTATACGTTCACGCTCGAGACCAAGGGTCCTGTGTTCGATTTTTCCGTGAGAGGTCGTGAATGAGCACTACTGAAGAGTTCCACACTAAGAAGAGACGGTCATCTAGTGTTTCTGGGTTTTCGGTGGTGGTTCAACTTAGATCGATCCATAATTTCAATGAAACTCAACAATCTCCATGATATTTGTTATGAGAAATTTTGCATCCAGTTATCACATCCAATTACTTAATACTTTATATCATAAATTATTTTTACACTTTCTATTAACTTAGTCGATTCCTAACCAAAGTTCAATTTTTGTATATTTGCTTCTGTTGTTTAAATTCGTTTCTCATGTACCCAGTTTTTAGTTATGGTTAAAAGTTATACTTAAGCACATATCATTAGTTGTCTCTATATATTACATAATATTAAGTATGTATGTTCACATTCTACACGTGACTATAGAACAGTGAAATTAAATGAATTTTGTTTGTTTCCTCCACACATACTTTAATCAGATTGTTTAAAATAAATGAAATTCAGAAGAAAAAAATAACAATTCATGTCTTCATTAATTTACAAACCTAAACTTATTTCAACAAACATACAGGGCGGCCTGCTTGAATATCTGGGATAACTGTTCCTCCGATCTAGATATTCCATCAAGTTATCTGTTTTTATTATTTGTTTAAGCACATCATTATGTCTATTGTGCTCACAATCTATTCAGGCGCGTTTATGAAAAGTTAACCTTTCGCTGTACGGATTACAAAAAGGTACAATCAGCGACATCATGGTGGCTGGCAATATGCATTGAAACGAATGAACATTATTCAAATGTGGATTACCGAACTCCTAACATCTAACTGGCCATTACTCAATATTTATCGTCAGAATCGATCAAGATATAAGAAAAGGAAACTTGTTGAAATACTTTATGCTGAGAATTCTATATTTTACCAAAAATATAATGTTGAATAAAGCTTCTAATAATAATAATATCTTTGTAAGTGAATGAATTCATCATTGAGTAAAATAACACGAATTATATAAATAATCTTACTGGATAAGAAATAAGTGATTTGTGGAACGACCTATAATTTAGCTATGAAAAATTTGTATGATATCAGTTTATAACAGAAATGACTTTCAAATCATAAATCTATTCAAAGTTCTTATTTATCAAGAATTAAAAGTTCCCGGCTGATGTCTTTCATTGCTGTAATACATGTGAAGAATGTGCTATCCAAACAATCTTTGGATTGGAACACTTAAAATAGGTTTATACCACATACCTGTTCATTACATTTAATATTACTATCTATATCAGGCTGATCATGATCAAACTGACATGAATTCTGTAATTATTATTATTATAAATTGACTAAAGTTGAGGAATAGGTTTCATTAATTTACTCAACAAAGGAATAAAAACATGGAAAAATATCGACTGATACACCCAAAGAAAGAGGATGCCAATAAAAGAGAAACTTCCAGAATATACAAGACTATTATCCGGAGAAAGCTAAAGTCAGGACAACAATGAATGATCGTGACCAGTGGCCTGAGACATTAACTCAAAATCGATATCAACGACGCAGAAACATTCATCGATATATTCCCTCAAATCTTAAGATTTAATATTATCTCATACTTTTCATTCCCTTATTACAATCCTTCTTTATAAATAGAAAAATATTCTGTATTTTATCTGAGTAGCACTGATACTACTACTGTTCTAAATCATTGTATCAACTTTCTGTCATGGTGATGATGTGATGAAATAGCTTGGCTTAATGCCCACTTATCCCAAGTCCTAAATTAATTGTGACTTATTAACCTTTCTTACTTAGGCGTAAAATCTCATCGTTACTCATTTTGTAATTCCTACAACGTAAATGCTGTAAAGTCATTTATAGATAAAACGTATTACATTTCTTATAACCTCCAGTTTACAATGGAAAATTCTTCTTAACATAAAATACCATTTTGTTGGGAAATTCACCTGTATAGCACTGAACCTTATGCATATTCTAACTTTATCAATTCATCATCAAAGAGTTAATTAATACACTCAGTCAGCTACGAGATATTTGAATAAATCATCACTATCAATATATGTTTATATATATTCAACAGAGTTGTCACAGTTCAAAGTAATACAGTATGACAGAGATAAATACAAAACACACCTTAACACATATTTCTTTAATATATCTACACAAATAATGAGGATAAAGAAAAATAATGTCAACGTATTTGAGTAGGACAATTTTTTTCATCATTATGATTACCCACCACCCACCCACCCAAAAGAACAACTTTTATCCCTAATCCATAAAAATGAACAAGAAGAAGCACATAGTTATATCTGTCACACACACACACTGGTCAAACATTCATTGATAAAAAGAACACAGTGTTCACAAAGAAAAAAAATTATGCACAAAGTTCATTTAAAAATAAATAAGACAAAATAAAATGGATTGCACCCTATTAAAAAAACCAAATAAACATGAAATGATTGAAATAAACAAAGTACAATATGAACGAAAAAGAAAAAAACAAAGAAAAAGACAATGGTAACAGTAAATAAGTCATAAAAGTTTGGTTGTTGTTAATTTATAGCAATGACATTACGATAATACAAAAGGGATAAATGACTAGATCATAATAAACAATCAGAATTGCTGAAACTTTTAGTCACAAGACTGGCGCGAATACAAATTCGAAAATTGTTTTCTCCGTTTCATTTCTTTTTGTTTCTCTTTTTTGACATTGTGATCATCATAAAGAAAATAAACTCAATTAGGAATTGCATAACCGTAGTGATAATAACAGTTAATTATTATTATGATTACCATTGCTATTATGTAAAATGAACACTAATAGTCTCATTCTAACATAATGAAAATTCATTGATCAGATCGTTGAAAAAGCGATAGTAAATCTTTTGCAGCTCTAGCAATCTGATGAGCATGACGTATTAGAATAGTGATCTCTGGTGGAACTGATCGACCACTATGACTGACAGATCCAACAATACCGGAAGAAGAAGAAGGTGATGTGAAGGAAGACGAAGCGGTGATTTGTTCACAATCTTTTCGTAAATTTTCTGATTCTGTGGCAAGATTATTTAATGCATTTTTCACTTCCACTGGATGAGATTCATCAGAAGGGAATAAATTTAATAAATCTTTGACAGCTAACTGAATTAAACGAGAACAATGAGCACTATTGTTACCATGACGATCACCATTAGCAATCTAAAAGTATCAAGTGTGTAAAAAAAATAAAAGACATGAAATGAAGGTTACACTGTCATGAAAGATGTCAATTATCATTAGTTTGTTTTGTTTTGGTGTAAATCCACTGGTTTACTAAATCAGACTAAAATAATACTACAGTGTATGTTGACATAAACAGTTGGGATAGAAATGCAACTTCAAATGAATTGAACTATCAAGTTATCATATACGTAAACACCGTATAGTTTGATACAATTGTCACATTCGAAATATAATCAGAAATATAATTTATGAATCGTTTTATTTAACTAGACCATCTACAAACATCTTTTTATAAAAGAAAGAAACGAAACATATGAGAATAAGACTTATCAATTTTTAAGTCAAAATCACAAGATCAACACTTCAAAGTTCATCCTAGACAAATTAATGTGATAATTCTTAGATTCATACGCAAAAGATCCTGGTCAGTGTGTCTTATAAAAGAACTTTTAAATAACTGGTGATCTGTAATTTCACTATGCATTGAAACCAGATACAAAAAATTAATTAATGAGTATAGTGTAATTCAATAGAACGGAATCTTATGCATATTTGAATTAATGATGCCTAATGATACTATGTAACTGGCTTAAAGAGATTACATTACATAACCACTGATATTTCACACGTACTTGTCAATATTACCATGATGATTGTTTCGTAATAAGAGACGTGAGATTTTCAGGTTAAGATTTTTATTCAACGTCCTTCAAACGGCTGATTGTTTCAGTGTGGTGGAAAACACTAGTTTATTTACAAATATCGGAAAACTAAATTAAGCAATGAGGAGTTCTATGCTATGAAGAAACCGCCGTCTAGTGTTACCAAGATTTGACTGCTGATCTAGCTAAGATCAGTTCGCGATTTAAAACTAAAATCTTTATAATCCTCACAAATCCCTTTTACCAAAGAGTTATATGTTTTTTTACCAATTAAAACATCGTAACAACAGGAGAACATGTGTTAAATTCATAAATTATGAACAAAAGTTCTGTTATACAGGAAAAATACTACTGAACTACTAAGGTAAACAAAAAACCCGAATATAATTCATTCATCAGTATAGGGTTGTGGAGATATTTGAGTTTTTATTGAGATTATCAATCAATTAATATTAGGCCACCATTGAAAACCTGAAAGCACTGGACGGCCTCTTCGTCCGGGTATGGGACTCCTCAGAAGTGTGCATCCACGATCCTGCACGCGTGACTCAAACCCAGGACCTTCGACCTTACTTTCTTGCTGATGATGCAAAAATATGTATGATTAGGAGATCAGGTAGTAAAGACAATTCAACTAAACAAACCATTATCAATTAATATAGGTATATACATATTTCACGATAGTGCTACACAATATGAGTGTGAGAACCTGAAATACAATATGAATTTTATTGCGATTGGCAATATTCATATCTCGTGAACCGAAAAGAGATTGACACGCAACTCGATGACCAATCACACGATTATATGACCCCTGTTTAAGCAATACACACACGGATGAGAACCAATGATAGAGACAGACTGCAAAAATCAAAGTAGGTTAAGTCGGGTTCGAATCTGAATTCAATTATTTAAACTCAAGAGCTCTGATTGTTATCAAACCATTAATTTGACTTGCTATTGATAATCTTCAACTATATATATATATATATATATATATATATATATATATATATATATATATATATATATATATATATATAACCTTACTGTAGTTACTACGTAAAGATAGTTCCACATGTATAACATCCAATAACAATGATAATGGTAATAGTAATAATAACCTTAAAATCAAAAAGTAAGCACCAAAAATAAAAAGCTGAAAATGTCTTTAATTCAAGTACTAATTGTGTTACGACTGGAGGGAGACTGAATCAATAGTATAAACAACCAGAAAAATATTCTCACCTCTACCAAACTTCGAATACGCATAATAATTGTTTCAACGCATCGGACAACTCGTTCTGAACTTGGAGCTTTCCAAACTTGATCTCCATTAACCCCAACGACAACACTACCACCACCTGATCTAGAATGTTTATCGATTTGATGAAACGATTCATTGGATGAGTGTATTAATGAGGATGAACGAGAAGCGTTATCGTAGTCTGGAGACGACTTACTTATAGATACTAAAACTTCTGAATGATGTAACGGCTTTTTACTATCAATCATTGTTGGCTTGTTCAAATGTGAATTCAGTAGACGTGATGATTTTCCCTGATGGTGATGATGATGACGATGATGATGACTACTAGAAATATTCATATTTGGACTGGTTGTTGTAACACGACTACACAACTGATTCGCTAGATTTTGACTGATCGGTATTGGTGCTGGAGAAGGGGAACCAGTAGCATTAGGTGCAGTATAATCATCTGGTATATCAGGATTTAAAGCTGAAATGAATGCATTTAAGGGTAATATGGTTACAGAAAAAGAGAGAATAAGAATGTGATGGAAATGTAATAGTCCAGTAAAATAATAGACATTGACCTTAAAAGTTTTTTTCAACGACATTTTCCATCAAAAAGAGGTCACTACTAGTAATTCATCAATTTCATACAGTCTAATCTTCAGTGATGAGCAAAGAACTCTACGAAGATCGACTCCGTACAGTAGACACAAATAACCCTAAATGATCCATAGTGTTAAACTTTGATTGATGGTAAACCATGTTAAAAGGCAATCAACAACTTTAAATCTATATTGCACGCTTACTGATAACTACTACCAGGATAATTTTCAAAATACATTCCAAATGTTTCGCAAGAGTAACTATTATTGATACTATCAGCATTTTAGTTCGTTAGGTTTTCACCGTATTAATTTCCTACTTTTGTCGCTGTGCTGATGTGAAGTATATCTGCTTGGGTGGATAATTCACTACGTCTGGAATTTCTAAAGAAATCCTACTCTCGCAATGTGGCTGGGTCCGGTTACATAACTTATTGATCTTACGGCAAACTTGATCAACAGACTTTGATTGGTACTGATGATAAGATAGCACTGTACTTGATTCAGTTCCATACAGGATTAATTATGATCTAAACAAAACAATGTTAACCATATCTAACTAACAGTTACAATACCTGATGCATGTTCATCACTGTAAGGCAGCATAAAGTGTATGTTAGTTACAGATACGCTTTCCTTCTAATTACCAAGTAATTAGAAAATTTATATCTAGGGTTTTCTGTCAACTGACTTTAATCACAGATCAATTTTTATCTGAAAGTTAAACGACTTAACCATTGAGCTACTGCATCATTATTTTGCCAATATAAATTCCACATCAGAATTATTTTCCTTTCACTCACTATTTTAACGAACAATCATTCTATTTCCTCAAATTATTGGCGTTATCAATTAATTACCATAGTATCACTCCCCTATCAATTAAACATCATTACTAACAGTATGTGTTTTATGTGAAAATTATATTTGAAATATTCTCAGCGATTGAAATATAACTAATTCCAACGTTTCGTCCAGACAAGTTAGCTGGACGAAACGTTGGAATTAGTTATATTTCAATCGCTGAGAATATTTCAAATATAATTTTCACATATAATGACTTCTCTATACTCGGCGCTCAATTACTGTCAAACTATTCGTTCTAATCTTGACGAATATTCGTATAAAGTATGTGTTTTATGTTATAACATTTTTCAAACAATTAAATTTAAGCACCAATTTTAATTCACCATAAATATGACATCTATTTAACGATAGTTCCCTTGGAATATTTTATAATTTAAAAAAGAAAATAGAAAACAATTCCGATATTTGGAAAATATATTGAAGTTAAAACTCACCATCAGCAAGTGTGATTGAAGTACCCGATACTAAGGTGGGTTTTGAGTTGGACAAAGGATGCTGAATAAGATGTGGAGTATTAACATAAGTTGGAATATTTTGGGGTGCAGATGAGACAACATTTTGACTAGTTGAAGTGAACACAAATGATTGCTTTAGTTCTTCATTATTTCTACTGTGTAATTTATTACTTTTTACAAGACCACGAAATGATGGCGTTATAAAATTCGTTTGAGATATAGAAGGATGAGAATGACCGAAACCTGTTTGATGCGTTACACCACCACCACCAGTTACAGATGCTGGTGATCCACCTCTGCTTCCACGTAGAATAATACCTTGTCTAAGTAGTACACCAGAATCTAGACAATGTGAACCTATTGCGTAATTACCTTCATTACTAGATTTATCGTTACTGCCACCAGCGACAATAACTCGTTCCATATCATATTCAGAGTCATCATCTTTATATCGTTCAGCATCCACTTCACCAACTTCATCATCATCATGTTCTTCACCATTATCCGTTATTTCTTCACCATACACTCTACTTCCATCTTCTTCGTCTTTTTCATAGTCCCAGTGATAATGTGTTGAAGGTGTTTCACTAACTTTGCTAGCTTTCAAATTAGATGAATACACTCCAACTGATGTTGTTGTCGTTGTTGTGATTGGTGTTTCGCTGGTCAGTTGTTGACCATCTGAATCACAGCTGATTTTTAATGGATTATGAACCATAACCATACCAGCTGAAAAAGCCGCTAATAAGGCAGACTAAAGATGAAAATCAAAAATTATGTAGATAATGTAAGAGACAAAAAGAATTACAGATAAAAAAGTATGTGTAAATAAAATTCAATAAAAATCAGGAGATTAAAATTGTTTAAATAATAATCACTATTAGGCATAAGTAGATTGTGGCTGATAGCAAAATCCAGGACGCGCATTTCATCCCATTTGCGAATAGTCATCTGAATTTATCCGCACGTCAGTGTTGACATTCATATAGCGACTCAAAATCAAGTACCGATTTTCAGATAACTACTAGCTTGTACAATGAGAGGGTAGTGAATTTCAATTTACATGAAGTTGTTTTGAATATTCCTGTTGATGGTAAGGATTATAATTAATCGGTACGTTTTGGCATGCATCTATCCTGTGAGAATTGGGTTGATACTGTCACAGAAAATTGCCAATACTGCTTGGAAATATTTTTGACTTAATGGCAACGGAATACACTTTCAATAATTATCCAGCTATTAAACTGAAGTAATGTACATACAATGTTGTCAACGTTCATGACCTCAATGATCAAGTTTTGTTACTCTGATATTAATTATAATCAGTATTTCTAACTCCAATTAGAATTATCTCAATTAACTAGATCATTAATATTTGCTGTTCTGCAGAATATCAAATTATGTTCCCAGTTAACAACTGATGAGATGTGTTAAACATAAGTTTGATTCATTTCGATGTACATTTATCAGTCCACTTGCCATTATGGATTGGTTTGTATTGATTGTATAAAGTATACTGCCTCCAAATGCATTTCTAAGCTCAGCAGAAGCGTTGGGAAATCATCGTTTCAAAACAGATCTGTGTATGTTAAAAATTTATATATTCAAGCTCCAAGTTCACCTCGGTCTTCGAAATAATTTGGAATAGTGGGAGTAATGCATCTTGTATAATTTTAAAAGTTCTTACCCATTATTTCTACTTAATTACATTTTCTTCATATTGTTCAGATAGACAATCGTCTTCTATCTAGAATTTATTTTCATTTTACTGGTTTATATTACCTTTCGATCAATATAGCATAATCTCCCTTAATATTACATAAAATCACTTTCCACTACATTTTTAAATGATCCCTTATCCTGTCTATGTTGAATAGTATCAATTTAACTATATAAACAAAAATATTGTTTTTATATTGTAAATGTTGAATTTCTTTATTGGTTCAAAATTTAACATTCATATTTATTGATTTTCACTATCATTTCAAGGATTTATTTACCCAGCGCTTCATTACCAGGTCTACCCCTTTAACTCCGTTACCATCTAAGTGCATTTCAAAGTCATGTTTAGTCAAAAACAATCAATACTATCTCTGTATATTGAAGATGGGATGATTGCAAACCACTAAAATAATAATATCAATCATGAAAATTGTAAAGACGAAATAAGATGATGTAAAGTTTTATTTAAAGTCTTCCTATTTCCCTAACATTTCTTATAATCATCTTAACATGTCATAATGAAAAATCTAAACTAAGTTATGTAACTTATTTACTAAATAATGACTTATGCATTTGGCAACTTGGACCGATGCATAAATGTGCCTGGTCCTACGTTGTAGCTGACTGACTGATTTATGCGTTTAATATTGAATCATACAGTTTGTGTATGACAGAGCTAACAATATTGAAATAATATTTGCAGACTAACTAGAAACTTTTGATAGTGTTGTATTCCGTGAACTAGATCGCTTAATTGTGGAGTTATTGTTGTTATTATTCTAGATAATATTTTCAGTGACTTCTATATAAATTAGATGCTGAAAAAGCTAATGATACTATATTGTTGTCTAAACGAAAGTAGACTAAATATGGTTTAAATATGAAATTTATTAGTTAAATGATGAATTCTTTCATCATTAAGTTTCACTCCTTCATGTTATTACTTAGAAATGAAGTGATTCATTAAACTACATTATGTGTCTTCCGTTTAACAATTGAATAAATCTACATCTATGTTTAGATTAACTATAAGTTCATAACAAGGATTTTGACGGTAACCACCATAGCTGTTATCAATGAAACAAATCCATTTTTTAATATCGTATTAATCTAATCAGTTACATCATTTTTAGACTATTGCATTAAAGAATGTTCCTAGTAATGCTACGAAAACACTGATATGATACAACCCATTCAACAAATATTTTTAACTCATAATGACAACTCTATTCCAAGTGTCGCACAGAACTGCTTGAATATGGAACATAGTCTAATTGAAATTCAACAGTTAAACGAATACGGCAATAATATGATAAGTGTCCAAACTGAAATGTATATCATATCATAGAGTATTGACTAAATTAATAATGATATTGATAAGAAGAAACCACAAGTGACATAAACAAATTAACCAAGTTGGATAATAGTTCAGCATGACAGTCGATTGTATTCTGGCAATGTCGGTCATGTATTCATTCAGTAGAACACTTGCTACTGTCAGTAATAAATTAAATCCAACTAATGGTCACTGTAAAAAAATCTGTAATATAAAAGAGTAGTATCTTTCCTTAAAATATGTTTTTCGCAATTTCAAACCAGGCTTGATTTTCCTACATTTTATAGCTCATTGTTATTTATAAATTTATGAAGGAGCATAGAGGTGGTAGCGTATTATCAACAGTCATATTTGTTATCGATTCGTGTATTATTAGTGTAAATCAATTTCTGATTACCATAAGTAAACGCCTCTCAGTCATATAAAATTTCGTTTTATTCCATACTTTATTCATTATTTTTCTTACTTCACTTAACTGTTAAGATACACATCGAAAGAGTAAATTCGTAATAGTTTTCTATTAGATACTTTAAAAGTTAATTTACAACTGGTCATATATTCAATCAAAAGAAATTGGCCAGAAAGAAATGGTAAATAAAAAATGATTACATATCGAATATGAGAATTAGTTTCAAAGCATAATTAAAACATGCAACGTAACAGGATGAATGAGTAGTATGTACAGTAAATAGATCAATAAATAAAAATGACAACTAAATGAAATATACAAAATAAACAAACAAATTGGTTGATCATTTCAAACATAATCCATTAGTTTTACGTGAAAAATAAAAAGGTACGCGTAAATGATGATGTTACATCATTAAGAAGAAACACACACACAATTCATGTAGAGTATATGCAAAATTGTTAGTTACTTGATTCATGTTACTTATGCACTCAACTTTGAGCTACACATCAATGTTGTATGAGAGTATGTTATGCTGTGCGGTGCCCGATTCTGACATTAATACATAAACTTCCTATACGTGAACCCAAAGCAGCCGCTTAAGTGAGAGGAAAGCTTTATTAGTTAACCCAAATCCAGAGACTTGCGCGTATATATATATATATATATATATATATATAACTCCGTTAAAAATGTTTGAATCAAACCAGTGGCATGTTTCTAACTACATAAAAAAAGGTAAACCAATCTCAGCTGATAATACGACCCAATGTGTTAGAGTGTTAGTGTTATACTACTAATCAACTGTTCGAAACTCAAAATAGATGGAACAAGATTTGAACCCATACGGCTTAAAATGTAGGTGCTCTACCCACTTTGTTATTAATACTTCGTGTGAAAAACAATGTACAATAGTCAGATGAAGATCACCTGAATAATCACCAATTATACTATTATTATTGTCACGTCGACTACAGTCTGTCATAGTTGTGTAGCAAATGAACAGGTAGGACGACATGTATCGATCGATATTGTCGCAACATTTCACATTAATCCAACTTGATGAGATTAGTTAACACGAGCAGGAAATCAAGCAGAGAGATTACTGATACAAAAGAGACGCACATAAAAATAAGTGAAAAGGGGCTGTAGATTTAATATGATGTTTCGAACTTAGTTAAAAACAAATATCAACATAAAGCATAAATATGAATTGTTTCAAGTTGTTACAGTCATTTTCGTTCATAATAATTAGAGAAAAATCAACGAAAAATCGGATGATGTTAAAATAAACAAGAGGGATATTAGTTCGAAAGTGTAAGAAAATAAAGAGTAATAAAAAGCGACATGTCGCATAACTTATATATTACTGCTTCCTAACATTTCAAAAGAAACAATTAGCCGGAAATCTCTTAACTGTCTATAGAACTCAGGTTGATAATCGGTGCTTTCAAGAACTAGGTGAATGGCCCATCCTGTTTACCCTGATTTGCTTTGTTAAACTGACCCTACTACATTAGAGAAAGGAGGTTTAAACAGGTTACAGATGATCTACTTAACTAAATCGATGAAAGTTTTAAACCAGAACTCTGCAAATCATTCGAATATATTTTTACTCAATATTTCTAATATCTATCTAAAATGCTTCAATTACATGTATGATCCAATATTTGTGATCTGTGAATACGTTGTTTTAATGAATATGTTTTATAGTCGTAGAATGACAAACTACTGCGCAGTATAACAGACTAATAATAGACAATTGGATATTTGCGCGGAACTTTGTCGTGAAAATGTAACGTTTAGATAAACATTTTTTATGGAGATTTCGAGAACAATAAAACTAAAAAATATCTAGATAACGTCTACCCGACAATGGTTCAGATACCGATTCACTTCTATATAATAAGAAATAAGCTATAACGATATCCTTTCTCAAATCTAGCATTTCAAACCAAAAATCGATTTGACCATAGTTATAACTGCTTTGACGAACCTAATACTTTTTCATCATCATAAGTTTGGAAAATTCCAGAGTAACTAAACACATAATTAGAAGCTTTATAAAGATCCTACATACACCTAGCATCTATAAGCGTAGTTTTTTTCAATATAAAACGCATCTTTAGTCACTACTCTTTCAAAGCGTAAATAAATATTCTGCACTTCCAATAAAGTGACAGGGAATTGTGAAATAAAAAAAGACCGCTGAACCTCATCGAAACAATCTACTCAGTTGACAAGTTAATCGAATGACATTAGCTCATGATACAAAAAATTATTTTCAAAAGAAATAAAACATGCTATGGAGTTGAATACAAAGTTGATGACTACTGTTATAAGTAGTACAGATAAACGATTATTAAAAGATTTTATTATGATGAAAGTACAATGATAGTTGTATGTATATAGATGAATAAATAGACCCACACAGAAACAAACAAATTGAAAGGCAAAACAAAAAATAAAGACATCATCACCATTACTTACAACCATCGTTATGAATAAACCAAATAAATATATCAATAGTTTCAATGAAATCTCACAAAATATACTCCATGGTGATAGCTATATACACAGAATTTGATAGACAGAAATATATACAAAAATAGTGATAAGCTGAAAATTTCAGACATGAGTAGTAAAGATGAACATATCAAAACAAACGTTGTGAGTACAGAAACACACAACACAAGATGCTCTTTCTAAGTTGATAATAAATTCATTGATATCTCATTCCTACCCCAATTCAAAAACATTTATACCACTATAACAACGTATATCAATTACATTTTGCTAGGATCCTACGAGAATATTTAGAAGCCAGATAACGGCTGATAATATTTGGTCTAAACGGCATACGCTACGAAGATGTTTAGAGATTCGACAGACTACTTATCAAACTTTGGTTGTATGGATACTTAATTTGTTGCTTAATTTGGTACGCCTCTAGGAGTTTCTCGAGTTTAAAGGCTACCAATAAACCTACAAATATTGATGTTTTCTGCACAAGAATAAACTTTTTAGTAAAGCTTCTACTCTTACTTCGCATTATTTCTTTACTACTCGGTGTTAAGGCCTAGGATTATTCGAGTAACCTAGAAAGTAAGTATCAAGATTTCAAGTAACAAGTATATTACACGATATTTTGTCACAAACAATAATGAATTCAGGACATTTCAAAACTTTATTTTGCTGAAGAGACTATAGTTTATCTTGATTTTCGCTAATAAATGTCAGCTCTTTTTCTGTAAGGATATAGTTCGCACTAGATATTGTTCGTATTAAAAGAATCTCGACTGTTCGTCGTTAAAAAGTACTATAGACTAAACAGTATCGACGGGTGGTGGCGGTGATAACTGATAAAGATTCTCTTCAACACTCCCCTTGCAGCTAACATATTGTTTCCAGCCAGTACTCTGGTTCACATAATCACATCAAACAAAAGCAATCCTCAATAAAATTGCTGCAGAATACCCACAGTTAACTTTCCTCAAGTATGATACCACCTTGAAGCAGTCTGGGAAGACAAGATGGTTTGAGAGTTTCCTCAGTCTATCATTAATTCAATCTTGGTTGCAAGCTAGCGACATGCACTCCATTACATTCTTCAATTAAATCACTCACAGAGAAACAAATTCAACAGTCAACAACACTGGCGTCATGGTGCATATCATTTCGCCAGGTCGTGTTCATGCAGCCATTAAGATAGAAAGATATATAAAACATAATTGAACTCAATTATGTAGGTAATTTCAACCGATCCTGTGATGATCATGTTTAAACACAACAGCTTGTAAGCAGATGATGAGAACATAACAAAATAAAATGAATTAATCTCATCCTGTCTAAACCTTTATCTTCAAAATAGTCAAAATAAAATCCTAACCCGTCGACAGTTATTGGAAAATTCCAATTTCAGAAAGAAAACAATAAACTTGTTCAACTAATAATGAATATATCAAACTAAGTATCGGTGTTAGACAGGGCTGCTTACTCTCCCCCTTCCTCTTTCTTCTGGCGGTTGGTTGGATTATGAAGACCTTCACATCTGAAATGAAGCACGGAATACAATCGACAGCCTGGATGCAACTAGACGATTTGAACTTTCTATCCCATACACATCAACAAATGCAGGTCAAGACAAACAGGGTAGCAACAAACTCTGCATCAGTAAGCCTCAACATACATAAGGGCAAAAGCAAGACCCTCAGATACAAAACGGTGAACACCGACCAAATCCCACATGGTGGAGCTCTGGAAGAGGTGGGAAGTTTCACGTATCTGGGTGGCATCACTAATGAACTTGGAGGATCTGATGCAGACGTAAAGGCGAGTATTGACAAAGCAATTACATCATTCCTATAGTTAAACATACACAACCCAAAACCACTGTCAACCAACATCAAAGTCAAAATCCTCAGTACGTATGTCAAGACAGTTCTGCTGTACAGAGCTGAAACCTCGACAACTACTACATCATCAAAAAGGTACTAGTATCTTTAAACAATAGTCTACGCAAGATACTTAATGTCCGTCAGCCGGATACCATCAGCAATACTCTATTGTGGGAGAGAACAAACCAGCTTCCAGCTGAATAAGCTCATATTTACCCGCACTAGAAGTCAGGCCGGTGTTGTAATTTAGGGTTATCACCCCATAGAGTATTCGTCACCAACTGACATCAATAATAATGCGAAAAAGTTATGGTTAGTTATTAAGAGTAAAACTGAAGTTTTGAGTTAGATTTACAAATAGCGGTCAGGGTTTTCAACACGAACTGACATCAACTATAATGCGATGCATTGCCACCGTTCTGTTTACACACTTGAGAAATTTAGGGTTGAAATTTAAAGAGTAAAACAGGGAAAACATTATCTAGATTCACAAAACACTCTTGAAAATGTGCATTGAATCATATCAGGTACTTTAACACACAATCTAACTTAGGATCAGGTATGTTTTTCAATTTAGCTTAACTGTTATCTAAAAATCAACTTTTGGGTTCATAATAGATATTTTTGTTGTTACAAGTATTTTGGGAACTAAATATATCTAATGTCCACTTTATTAATGATAACGTGCACATCATCTATCAATACACTTTAAATTTCCAGCAAAATATATGAGGCTGCTACAAAACGGAGCTGTGTTGTACAGTTGTAGTATGTCATATATTTTCAGAATGAAACAGCAAACTTTTTTATATCCTAACGAAGAATAAGGGAATGGTAACTGTTAAGATTGGTTTATGGAATATTATTACATATATTCCTATTGGATGACTATTGAATAACTATATTATATGTACATTTATATTCCTTTTATTATAAGCTTCTATTTGATTTATTGACTACTGTTATACGATTTACTATTCCTAAGATATTCCTAATTTATTAGTTACAGTCTCTCACACAGCCACTTTTGGCTTGAACCTGTACAAGTGCCATTTCTATTTTATGGTATGATGTGGTCTGGTTTGCTTGTATATAAACCAGGTATGTTATAAATAAATGATTCGTATAGTGGAAGCTGATGTTGGTGTTCTGGACTCAACAGGCAGGGATAGGCGAGAAGGACCAATAAGGAATTTAAGCTGCACACACCGGTCAAGACCTCATTGATTTGTCACAGTGCTAAAATTGTATAAGTCGCGTTGTGACTGGAGACCTTATCACGTGACAATCAATAAGACGCAAAAGTCATAACAGAACATACAAGAAAGGACAGAAGGTATGATGGTGGTTGGAGGTAGTCAACAGGAAACCCTGGACCCGAGTTTTGTGCTACTTGGCACTCGTCAACAAGGTGTACCTGTAATCTTGAGGGAACTGGTGCTCGTTGACGGATTCGATCCCGTGTCACCCATATTCACAGTCAGAGACGTTATCACTAGGCTATCCGGGCCGCGACCAACCTCCTGTAGGACTGAGATGTATTCACAATTGATTGATCACTGGGTGGTGATCTATCGATTGTGAAGAGACAGAAGGGCTAGGAGCCAAACGTTGTATACTTAAATATGACAATTAAAACTGACCTAACCATAAACTTATGGATAATATGATGAACAATACACTGAAATATTTAAATATAAGTATTCAAGATTGATATAACGAGCAAACAAACATCAGGAATAAATAGTAATTTTGAAGTAATATTTTTTTATCATTCTGAACTTATAAGACCAGACGATAAGCAACAATATCACGCAAAGTTTTCCAAGCACTCTACGTGTATCAACCCTTTGTTGTTGGTCCTATACCACATTTTTCTAAATTCTACCCAACCTGATTATTACTACTCTTCTGTCTTATATGAAACTTATCAGCAACTTCAGATTACGGACTGACTTTGATTAGACGACCATTTAAAGCTAGAAAGCACTGAGCAGCTGTTCCCTAGTATGAAACACCTCAACAGTATACTTCCACAACTCCGCTAAGGAACAGAGTTAGGGACATTCAGACCTCTGAGTTGTCCTCTAACGGCTAGTATTGCTTACTTTAGTCACTTTATGACGTTATGCAACCGTCACCCATTGCTAGTGGCAACATTTGTCTCACGTCAGAAATGGTTGAACTGTATCGTTCAAAACTTCTTACTAGAATTCTAGGGATTACCTTTCAGAGTAAGTTACTTCAAAACCAACAATCCATACCAAAAATTGTTACATGGATCAAACTTTATTTTTGATATCACTTTATTGTTGCAGTCTTCTCAGAATTCTGCATGTAGTACAATATGTTGACTACGGTGAAATAATTAATCGTTTACCACGAGATTTGGTTGTAGAATCGATAACAGGATGCACACTTTGGAGAAATCCAAAACTTGGATGAAACAACAGGCCAATGATTTGTAATCTGAAAAAGTTCGTCAACTAAAATCTATATAGGATAAAAACTATCCCTATATTAAACCTATATAAATTATCTTAGATAGTATAATTACGGTTATTAACTAATTTACTAGATAAAGTTTTTTCCTAGGCCCCGAATCACACTTTAATTGTTGTTATTAATACTACTATTCGATTACCCAAACTGAAATAAGTACAGAGAGGCTCAAACCTGAAATTTGAATGTAGAACCCCTAAAGCAGTAAACCACAGGTCCATGTGAATAACACTATTCAGAAATTAAAAACTAAAGGTGTTAAGAATAATTCTAAAAAAATGATGAAACACAATGGATGTCATGAAAGTAAAACAGACTGACAAATGAAACATCGAATTCATAGATATGTTTATAAGCTTACTTTAGAGTATATGTTACCATTACTTTAAAAAAAAAAAATAATCAACATGGGAGATGCTGAATTTTCACTACATCTCATTACACATATTCATTTCTAATCACCTTCGTATGTATAAATATATCAATATCCGTAATAACTTTGATTTTAAATATTATAGACTGTATAAGCAGCTCATGAGAACCTAACGAAATAAAATGAATTCATATTATTCCACACTAATCTATGTTTCTTGCTCTCTTTAACCAACATTGTTCCAGACAATGAAATCAATGTCACCGAATTAAATCTCAAGTACAAACCATTGGAGCAGTAATATTGTTTACAAGGTGTTCTCATTAAACATAAAATGTAATGCTATACAAATAATAATACTAATAACAAAACTGATCAAGGGTTCATATAACTATGATTAACTTTTGAAAAAAAAATTATTCAGAAAGAAATTGCAGGGAAGAAAAACAAAAAAAAAGATTCTTTTCTTAAAAGGTAATAGTCAGTTTAATAAAAATAAAGAATTCCTACAGATTTCTCATTATATCAGGTTAAAATCAATTTAGCTAAGTAACAAGGAAATATCTAAAATGTAAAGTGAATTAATTAAGTTCATATACATATTTTTTTCTTAACCAGAGTTCTTCTATAAGATTGTCGTTTAAGTTGAGATCGCCAGTGAAAATCAACAATCATTAAAATGCTTTGATTATAATAGCTTATATTGTTAATAATTAGATGATTGAACTATGTAATGATTTTATAGGAACACACATTTAGAATATATTAGAAAACAAAAGAATAAAAAATATACACTCACTTTCTCCTCTTTTAAAACTTGAACAATAGAATCTAGTTGAATTATACGTCCTTCCAAATCTTCTAAACGTTGTTCTACAATATCTTTACTATTTTGTAAATCAGACAATTGTACTTTTAATTCAATATTCTCTTTGTGTAAACGTTCCACTTCATTACGAGCAGCTACACAACAAGATTCTGGATGACGATGATGATGTGCATGAGACTGAAGTAAACGATCTTGAATATCGTTAGAATTTTCAGCACTCAGAGAATTAATTAACGAATGTTCTGTGAGATTTTTTGGTGAATCAGATGATTTTACGATACTACTTGTTGACTCGGATAGAGAGAGAGGATTACTACCACAACCAGTAACATCGGAATTAGTAGTGATAGTACCAGCCGTTGGTACACTAGCTCTATGCTGAGCTATACGACCAGTATGTGATAAATGTAGCCTACGTGATCCAGGCAATGGACCTGGACGACTTGTAATTGGAGGTATTGGTCCTATTGAATTTAATTCATCATTGCCACCACTTATTTGTTGGGTATGATGACTAGACTCTACTCTTCCAGTGGATGGTGATAATGGAGCTGTTAATGAAGCATTACTATGCTTAAATGATGAATTTTCTGTTATATTTTGTTGATTATTTAAACTGCTTTCTTCAATATCCACAGAAAGTATATTATGATTAGATGTAACTGTTTGTATATTGGACAACGCATTCTCATTTAAATCACCTTCACCAGCCACCTAAATGTGAAATTAAATAGAATAAGCTAGAAAATATATTCAAAAAATATAGTATTATAGTGGCTTCTTTGTTATAACATCTACGTGGATTTAAACTTTCAAGCAAAAAAATTCTTATTCTGGTTTAGTATTTTGTAAAGGATTATGTTAGTGAATTTGTGGCTTATCTGCTTTCCAATGTTTAATACGTGTGAAATATCTACCATTTCCTAGTTCATTTAGTGAATGGGCGTTGAATATAATTTTCATTGAGAATTTCATTTAAAGCTTTTTCATTCGGTAAGTTGGGATACATTACAGTATCTCGATCAATAAAGACATGAGTAGATAGATGCAGATGACTGAAATGAGAACCTTAGTGAAAATTATACTTTTATATGCGGTACTGACCCGGTTAATGAACGAAACAATTCTAAAGATAGATAGATACTGCAAAAAGATGGTTGTGATCTTCCATATGCTCCTTTGTTATACCTTTTGACTACTGACCGATATTACATACCAAGTAACAAGTCAGAATCCTGATTCTAATTTGGTTTATTTTACATCTAGTATTTCCTCAATAGCCTAGTATCCCCAAATTAAACGATTACAAGGCCAACAAGTACTAGTAACCTTGAGCAAACCCACCTAAGCCCCTATTGGTCCACTATTCGTAAGCTCCTATCTATGCTTTATCTTTAGTCCAAAATTCAGCGACCAGCTCTAACTATATTTATATTTCAAACCGACGTGATTTACATACAGAAATAACGGACTGCATCACACCATATAACGAAAAATGATAATTACAAATAAACAAGACAAAAGCGGCTATGGATAGGGGAGACTGTAAGTAAAAGACTAAAAACGAATGAAGAATAGTGAATCCTATAACAGAAAATAATGAGTTAACCGAAAACTTACGGTAAATGGAATATCTATACTTCAATAATACCCTGGGTCAAAGGAAAACGTTTTGATAATAAAGTACAATGTACCTTAGTTTCTAAAGACTCATTGGCCGATTTTTTACCATACATCTATTGCCGAATAGTGTCATGTAAAAACTAAAAACATTTTACTTCAACTGATACTTCTCTATCATTTAAACAGAATTAAAGCAGTTTAAACAAATCAACTGTCTAAAAAGATCACTCATAATACAATATACTTTATATTAACCAACAACACTAACAAGAATAATCTCGAATTAATCACAATGGGTAGTCAGTTTATGTTTATTGTCAGTCATTAATGATTCGAGCAGAGATATAAAAGTCAATACAAGAAATTATATTCAAAGTGTAAATTAAGTCAATTATTCTGGATTCTTCATTTCATTTTATCAAAATATGATAAAATTACCGGATAATGTTTTTGAAAAAGTATGAGAAATCTATTTTCACGAGACACCATTCACACAATATACGTACCATAATAAAAGTACAATACATATGCAAGACGAATAAATGTCAAGAAAAGAAAACGACTCTACACTTTTCTAAATGGGTAATGGTACAATTTACGATATATATAAAGAGAGAGCATAACATGTCATGTCTCAGCTTCAACCAAACACTTTAAAGAATACATAACAGATGACTAACTCCGCCTGGAGTCCCTCCGAGGGCTACTGTCGGTCCCAAGCCCGGATAAAGGAGGAGGGTTGTGCATGGGATTAGCGACCCCATCCCGTAGAAAACTAACTCGCTGAAAAAACGCTAACCAGAAAAAAATACTCAAACCACTTAAACACTGTTCTGGCAGTCAGGTCTTCCTTTAAAAGAGTTATGACGCCTCGTGATGAAAGCCGAGTTCCTTCGGGAGTCACGAGGCCGATGCCCCTTCTGACAACCAGAGCAATCATTTATTTAGGTACATGGAATGTTCGTACGATGTGGGAGACTGAGGGCCTTCCAAATTGCTGCAGAAATGGTGAGATACAACCTAGAGGTGCATGGGATCAGTGAAGCACATCGGAAGCAAGTTGGACAACAACGATTAGCTTCAGGGGAGCTTTTGTTATACTCCGGCCATGAAGAAGAAAATGCCCCAAATATATATATATATATATATATATATATATATATATATATATATATATATATATATATATATAATTTCGTAAATAATTCCCAGAATTTACCCATAATTTAATCTACACTCGGATATAACAGTATATCCAACTGGTTAACTGTTAAAATAAACTGCTAAGATGTCAAATCACATGTTTTACATTTTAAAGTGACTGAAAATGTTACAAGAGACTGAATTATTTAACCGGAGTTTAACATTAACCTCGAAATCAATGATATATTTTGTTCAAATTGATTCTTTACTTAAATGCTATTGATTTACTCTTTGGTCTACTGAACACGACTACGCTAATATCAAGTGGCATCATATACAAAGTTTTATACACAACATTATCTAGAATATAAAACTAATGATTGTAGATAATTCCAGAACACATACATACATATACACCATATTTATGCAAAAAGGTACTCATTGTACAATCATTTCTTATGGTTCTTTTCATTGGTTAGAAACCACAAAAGTGAAATAACTTCACGAAGTAATATTCACTTGGGAAATAACTTAGTTATTGGTTCACATTTGGTCAAATCAGAACACACACAGAGAAAGAAGAGGAGTACGAGTAAGAGTAAAAATAAACTTGGAGACAGATAAAGCAGAAGATCGAAAACAATAGTAAAGAGTATAATAACAAAGATGAGTTGAAAATAAAGGGTTAACAGAAAATAGAAAACTTCAATAGTAAACATAATCTTGCAGAGTATTTTGACTATGAAACATAAAGAAGCTTTACATAAACTCAAAATTAAGAACAATCTGTCGAAGTCTAAGGTTACCTTCTATCTGATTGTCCGTGAGTATCTGTCTAAAGAGGTGTTTTCAACCTTGTTGACTTTATATTCCTTTTGACTGTCTTGCTTTGTTAAGCTTTGATCATGTGATTGGCTGTCCCTTATATTGTTGATTGGTTAATATGATTTGTCGACATCCCTACTGATTATGAATTGATCTACCTAATGTAGTAATTGTCGCAATCGATACAATTTATTTTGACAAGAATATTGCATTTGCCCTCTGCTAGTTTGTGTAAGATATTGTGTTGCCTTGTAATTGATTCTGATTTTGAAGGGTTTTAAAATCCATGTGATAGTTTCTAAGATGTTTTCATATATGACGAGACTATTTGTTTGTAGTAAGCTCTATCGATTGTATAATGTCGAATGATACCACTAACAGAACACTCAGGTTCTAATAGTTGAAACGAACCTCTGATCAGATAAGTAACCAATCAACTGACTACTAACACTTTCGACTAGTAATCACACTACTCTGTGAATAATTCACATTAATCATATAATAAAATACTTGAGTTGTAAAATTAGTCTTTAATAAACATTAAAACTAACTGATACATCAGTAAGCCTCTACAATTCCTTGTTTTTGATATTTAAGACTGCAACTGATCAGTTTCAAGTATCATAGGTGCATTATCAGCGGATTACCTCGATAATAGCGTTGTGTTACAAGTTTTGGTGTATTTAGCACATAGAAAGCAGTATGATTTAGGATGCGGGTTTCTTCTTATTTGGGACTCGTCAGTTGTATGTACTGGTATTACAGCGTGTATTCTTACACTTAATATTTGAATCTAGTTTCTATTGCTTTTAACACCCAACGCATTGATTATTGGGCTAGTGAGTCCAAATAGTCACTAACTTGTTCAACAGGTATAAAGATATTAAATATTTGTAAACTATCGTTTTTCAATACTATGGACTGTAATTAATCAATCATTTTTGCTATATATGTATTATTACTATTATTGTTATCAGCTTTATTCAATATTATATTTTCGGTACAATATAGAATTCTTAGCGTAAAGTATTTCAACAAGTTTCAGGTTCTTTCTTCTTGGTCGGTCCTGGCGATAAATATTGAGTGATCGCCAATTAGATGTTAGCAGTTCAGTAAATGAACATCTGAATAATGTGCATTCTTTTCGCTGTATATTGCCAGCAACTACGTTGGCTCTCATTGAGTTTTTTGTAACTGTGACAACGAAAGGTTGTACACTTTTCAGAAACGCAGCAGAATAGGTCATGCGATTAATAAGCATAATGATATATTAAAACAAAGAAAAATAAAAAACTTGTTGAAATATCTAGATGGCAGGAACAGGTAGCCCAGATGCTCAAGCAGGCCGCCCTGAGAAGACAACCTCAATAAAGTACTATTTCACAAGCTTTAACTGATAACATTTACAAACAAAAAAAACAATTAGGAAGGAATATTTATATACCATAACAACAATTTGTATCTAATATATGACATTCTTTACTTAGTGTCTCATCTAACCTTGTACTATTATTATTTTAGGTAAGTGGTATGACTCATTAATATCAATGACAATATCATTGTTTGCTATAAACGATATATATGCTTCCAAAAAACTTTATTCTAGTCTATCAGAAGTTTATATTTTACCCTGAACTCTCTTAAAATATAAAAAGACAAACAAAGAAAGTTCATTTACATTAGGAAGTTTTGTGTGAATGTGAATTATTTGTTTACACTCAAAGTTGATACTTATTTTTTTTTTACAAATTATTTCTATTTGAAACGAGGAACATAAACTGGATGATATTGTTAGATTGTACATTAATAATAATGTATAAGACACCTTAACAGTGTGTATTCATGATTCAGTATTGTTACCATTATTATTATTATTAGCAGTGGTTAAATTTTGTTTTCAGTAATATTCACAATCTGACTAGGCAAAATATACAACAATAACTATACAATTTATTTTCTAATAATAAATAATCAAATTCGACAAATAAGTGCTATGTTTGAAAAGATTATGAGATCACCTGATCGGTGAACGGAACGAAGGATCAGAGACGCAACGACAAGACAAGCTTAAATATTCCGATGCGTCCCAGCCGCGCTAATTAGATAGAGAAGACATGGTTCACATGAGGGAAAGGTACATCCCATAAGCAGACAGAAGCACGAACAATGACAACCACACAATGCAAGCGTATATGCATACAGCATAAAAATGTATTTGGGAAACATCACAAAATAGCATATTAAAAGAGGGAACGAGCCAATGACATTTATGGTTCTTTCAAGTGGGAAATACAATCTGAAGGTAAGAATGTGTGTCTTTAAAGCGAGAGCGAGGGATTCAAATTTTCGAAATAAAATTACAAAAGAAAGTTTACCAAGTGATTTCTAGGGATTTAGCATCCCCAACATTAAAGTTAGCAAAGTGTGAGGTTGGGCGTTTGAAGCCGGAGATAATGAGTTCGAGTCTCGATACATACAGCTGATGAATACCTAATAGAACCAGGCACCCGTCCTGGATTTCACTGATAGCCGCCATTGAACGATGCTTAAAATGCTTGTAACTTAATGTCAATATCGAGGCTATCCGCACAGGTGAACTATATAGAAAAAAGATTACTTAATTGTAGTCCATAACATTAACGGCAAGATTCAAACGACTAATGTAAATAAATTAAATGTTTCACTGGAGCTTATGTTCAAGTCACAAAACAAAATGAACTATCTATTGCATAAAAATTTATACATATTCTTGTAATTATCAAAGCCGTTCATTCAACTACTAAAGGTCTAATAAGTCTTATTCTCTCTCACTCACACATGATACCTGTGAATAACACATTCACTTCAATTGCACCGATAGTATAATTACAAGCACCACTAGAAAAAAAATAGTATGTGTACTGATGATGACGATGTTAAAAATGGTAGCATTAATATGTGGGGTCCCGATAGATCGATATGGTTAAATAACAATTTCACATTAACCATTTAAAAACAATAGTACAAAGCTATGCGTATATTATTAATGATTTTTTATCATTGAAAGTGAAATAAATTTCTCTTAAGTGTTATTCTTAGGTGGTAAATACGTATCGACTGAAATGATTAGGAAATATGTTAAGTAGGCTTAACCACCACCTACGTCCACGAGCAATGCTTGTTAATGACGTACTACGTTTGAAAAATGTTAGGCACATCCAAAACAAAATGTGGTATCAGTTCATCACGTCATTGACTATTCGGCTGAGCCATTCTGGCAGATGATGACTACCTAATTGAGGTCCATGAGATAACTGTAATCAGTGGTTAGGTAATTTAGGTGGCATAGCTGACAATCATTCACAATAACTCACATCCATTCACTCTTCATCTTCCCTATCGATCGTCAATTCCAGTTTCTCTTCATGCATACATTTCAAGCTGTATTCCAAAGTCGAACCTTTCTTTATATCATTGCTACTATATCACTTCGACGATTTTTTTTATTCTTATCTCTTTATCCTAATCCAATGTAGCAACTTTAGACAACACACATCTGTGCCAAAATCTATGTTGATGACATCTGTCTTTCTATATTAGAAAGGGATTGAACAAACAGAATTATTCATTGGATTTATTAATCCAAAACTTCTAACGAATACATATGATATAATCAGACTCATTAAGCAGGTACTTGAGTATGAGCCACACTCGAAGTGTTTGGGTTAATGATACTATCCGGTTGCTCCAAGTGAAATAAGAGGAACTGGGTTTGAATCTTGGACTTGGCAGTTGAAAGTTTAACACCTTAATCAATAAGCCAGTACATTTTAAATACTTAGTTATAAAAGTATCACAGAGATAAGAATAAATATTAAATTTTACAATTTATAACTGGTAGGTGTAAATCTTAAAATTTATCTTGTATGTTGAAATGATAAAATGATAAAGCACTAAGTTCTATCTGATTTTTAATGCACTTGAAAAACTATACTGGTAATGGTTGAACAATAAGAATTCCAAGGAACCATGTGTAAATTGGTTTCAAAGAAAACTTGTCAAGTTGAATGTGTTCATTTCTCACTAAGAAACAAAAGCACACTATAGCTAGAGAACCCTTGAAAAGTAGAAAGAATTAAATAGGTAATTCACTTTATAATTTTAAGTTAATTGTTTAAAAACTAATTTATCAAATATAGATGAGAAACGATTAATTGACACTGTTTAAGTCGATATTTCACTATAACACTTAATTTATTTAATACATATAAAATCGTATACAGTAGTACACCAATAATCTACGTACTACACAAATAAGGAGATAACATTATGAATAAATGAAAGGAAGCACAATCAAACGATAATTGCTAGGTTGACCTCAACTTATCTAGTTTTTTATGATAAATGTAAATTTCCTTCCACTAACGAAAACTGTATCAAGTGGTTATTAAATGGCATAAATAAGGATATATCGTAATAATGCAAAATAAATTCATTCCTAATTTTCATCTAAACACTAATCTTCAATATCATTACATACGTTCTGTTTCGTAAATGCATTCGTTCTTTTCAAACTATGGTCTTCATATTTACCTATTTTATTTCTTCATGTATATAAACACAAAAACATCGGTACAAAAGGGCAAGAAAATATATATGCGCCAAAAGAAGAAAATTATTTGTAGACTGGGATACTCCCTGGGTCCCCAAACCGAAGCAGGCGGTTTTCTTAGGAGGCCACTCCCAGAATATTTGACCTAGAAGTCTAATCCACAAGGCAATGGAGCAACGTTAAAAGGTGCGGTCATATGATAGCCGGTGACCAATAATAGGCTCATATGTCATACGTTCCCTTAGTATCCTGGATCCCATCTACACCATGTTCAACTCCCGTAGATGAATCGTCTGTAGCCGCAAAAGCAATCCAGGCGGCGGACATTCGCTTTCTGTCCTCTCAACTTCGTAAACAGCACCCTCATCCCGAGGTGGTGAGTATGACTTCCCTGATAGTGGCTATATAAGCGTGTCCATAAGTATTTCGGGAGAAAGAGCAGAACCTCCCCACCGTCGACTGTACCGGGGAATTTCACTAACCCTGATATTACAACTATCATGATCTCTTTGATATTTTTCTTTTACTGTACTTTTGTGAAGTGCAACAATTCATCTAATTAGTTAATTAGTGAGTGTGTGAGTTAGTGAGTGAGTGAATGAATGAATACAGATGATATGGAAACGAGTTATTAATGATTAGTTCATCATCATTAAGAACATTCATTAACCTTACCGGCAACATAATTTTCTGTATTTGTTGATCATTAAAACATTTAATTGTCGTTTTAACGTATTAACTATTTTCAGGTAAGATGTTCAACACAATAGGTTTAAACTAATAAATAGAAATAGAAAACTGTAATTAGACGAAGTGACGAGATTTTTCTCTACAATTACCACTTACCTGATCATATACAGGGTCATCACGAGAACGAACGAATTTCTCCAATAAAATTTCACTTTTTGCATTCACCGGTGGTGATGATGAGGATGACATTTCTAATCGTAAATTTTCATGATTTGGTAAATTCTCTGAAATCAATGTTTCTTTTAAAATATCATTACATTCATTATTCAATTGTTTATTTAAATTATCACATGGACTACTACTACCATCACTATTATTAGTACTATGTAAACGTCCAACATCATCTATATGATTATCTTTTGTCTTAGGTGATGGTAACGATGGTAAAGGACCATTACGACGCGCAACAATAAATTCATTCAATTGTTGTCGTTTATCTGTATTAAAATAGTCTGTATATGAATGGTGTGTTTTTCGTGATTTTTTGAAAGACATTTCAACAGTCGTTGTAGCTGGAGCAGTAACAGCTGTACTAGTCGGATTTATTACATTGGTCAATGGTAAAAATAATGGCAATAAACGTATCGATGCTTCAGTGAGAACATCTAATGTTAAAGTATGAAATTCAATGGTAGATAGTCGACCTAATTTTTGACGTGCTTGATTACGTACTGATGAATAAGTTGTATTTGGAGGTAGAAAAAATAGCGTTAAATTAGTAATTGCAGATGTTTGACGTAGTGTTGTTGTCTTATGTAAAGATGGTCTAGAGTCAGGTTTGGCCTCTTTAACTACACTATTATGTAGTTCATTCTTTGTGCTGGCGTTGTTGTTATTGTTGTCGTTGTTGTCGTCTGCATCAGTCTTGCTAACATTAGAACCATTGAATACTGAATAGTTATTTAAATATTTCTGATTATTAAATGTATCCAGATTTTCAAGAAATGAATTTGTTAAACGACGATCTGCTTCATCATATACATCAATACATAAATCCTGTAATCAAAGGGAAAAAAACACGATTCACATTAAAAAATAAACCAGGTATTTTATTGTGTACTTCATAATTTATTTTTTTAAAATGGTTACCAACGAAATCGTTGTACAGTAACCAGTTCAATCGTCTAACTTCGTTTCTGTATGAACAACATTTTCACTTCAATTTAAATACTACTTACAGATATTAAATTTATATGTTAAACTTATAATTTAAAATAAACTTTTTCCTGAATGTTTGCATAACGAATTGAACTTGACGTACTTTTCATAAGGAAATTACGAAATTTAGTCGAATTGAGTTACAATCAAATGAATAGAAATAGAAAAAAGAACAGCTAGCCCAAAATGTCTGTCAAAAATGGTTTCTTTTTCATGATCGAAAGTTGAATTTGTTAACTTACAATTAGTATAAGAGAAATCATTTGATTTTTTTTAATATACACAAGATTTATAAGCAAATAGAGATGATGGCTAGCAGTGGAATCTAGAACGCATGTTTCGTCCTGTTTGGGAAACTTCAGCTGCATGTACCTGCACCCCAAATTTGATATTCACTTAGGAACTAGAGGCCAGTACCGTTCGCTTCAAATATCATCACCACCCATTTAAAAAGAAAGTTTATTTGTTGGAGAAAACTGAAGAAGTGAAATGAAATTCAATTTACATGTGAACATGAAACGTCTACGGAGAAATAAAAGTATTGACTGAAACATTAGAAACATAATTGAATTAAAGTTTTTAATTTGACTAGATCACGATCAAACACATGTTTTCTTTTTCAGCGTAAGTCCACACTAAATCAACCCGGTTAAATGGAAGTATTAAGATTAACATAAGTAAGTGATAAAAAAGACTATGAAAATCTCTACTGTTTTTAGTCATTTAAAAAAGCCCAGAAGACATGAACAAATAATTTTGAATGTAAAACCGAGTGTATTACAAAGTATATGTGTTGTTTAAGCATCATTAATACATGTCTTTTCAAATAGTTTGATATAAATAACTAGTATATTTGTAATATCCCAATGAGTAGAAAAATTAGATTTTCTGACGTTTCGTGGCTTCGTGTAAGTCACTAGTTCAGAAGTAGTGGCAAATATGCTATTTATTTATAACAATCTACCCAATGCTCAATTCATTCGAAATTATCAAATCAAACCTTGGTAATGATACCTACAAATAGTTTGATAGTTCATGAAAAGAAATTATCCATTAGATTTAAACGCATCTTTCTTTAGAAATTGTTGGCATGGTTGTAAATAGAGTTATAGATGACTCAAAAAGATTCTCACATTTATAATATACACTCTTGTTATGTTTATTCTTATTTCAGAGGAAAGTAATCATCAGAATTTAAACACATGTACTGTGAATTATTCTCAAATGTTTATTAGAATAGATGCCGTAACTTTTTTATAAAAAGAATTATTTATTTGATTATCAACTTTGAAGGAATAATGAAACGCTTCTCTTTTTTTAATTGATTTCTTTCACTAATTCACAATATAATCAAAATGTTACCGCCTTATCTAGTACTTCTTTGGTTTGTCATATAACTTCCCATGTGCCCCATACGTTTACACAGTCGTCGATAAATTAATTCCTTAAAAATTCGATTTTATAACTAGTTTCTATTATCAAATTTGAAATGGTTTAAGTTATCCCGTTATTTTTGACTAAAATTGGTTCAGTCTTGGTTGGTATGTGGGATTACCTAGATAAAGCTATCAAGAAACAAATTGATATAGAACAAATAAAATGTAGCTAACAGTGAAATCCAGGACATACATTTCGTCCTGTTTGGAACTTGTCAGATGGATGTACCTGAATCCCAGAGTTGATTTTCACTCCGGAACTCCAACCCAGCACCGTTTACTTCAAATGGCATCGTTCTATTCACGTAGCTACTGAGTTCAGACAACCAATCACTTATGCAATGGATATGCGATTGAATTCAATTCTTCACTGAAATCAATAATTATCCAAATGATAATTATCATCTCAGTTCGATATATGCTTTCTTGATGATAGACAGCTAAACTTTTAATTATGAAATGTAGCAGTAAATATTTAAGCATTGTTCTTATAGTTTTGTCTATTCTCCAAATTGTAAATACAAACGACTTCAATTGATTAGTTGTTTATGTTGGCATAGATTTTTCTTGAGTGGAACCTAAAAACTTACATCTCACTAACAATTATTCTATGAATTTTATTACTATTAGTCTTTTTCATTGGATAAACAAGACAAGTAAATATACGTTTTATCTAAATATCGTCAATTAGACCATAATAAGTGATTACAAGTACTATTTATTTCGGTTTGTAATCCATGTGATTGGTCATAAATATGAAAACAAGCACAACTGAAGTCTCAATAGATGTTTATTTTTGTGAGATTTTTGTTTCAAAATTGAACGACTTATTTATATCGTTAATTGTATGCTAATTAAATTTTTTAAAAACGCCAAAAACATAGAATATTAATTAATAAATACCTAGAAAGCTTTAAGTTAGGATTAAGCAAATCGACAAATATAAAATAATTGATTAAAACCATTAAAACTAATTTATTTAAAGAACAATAACTCAACCTTTATAATTGATTTTACGTTCTATATGCTTTTTAACAGCCCTCAAATGACCTGGTACGACTGAGGGTGAAGAGTCATCTCTCCCTCTCAGAATACTCTCACATGGCCACGCGTAGACAACCACTGACAATGAAGTCCCTTGGTTACGAAATTGAGAAGACGAAAACCGAGTGTCCGGTGCTTTAACCGGGTTGGCGGACACGAAGAGTTCATCTAGGAGAGAACTCTGATTCCACATCAATAGTGCACATGAGCTCCAGGATCCTGAGGGAACAAACGGAATATGAACCAATTCTTGGTCCCCGGCTACTATGGGAATGCATCTCCCCACGTCGCTCTATTGCTTCGTGGATTAGACCTTTAGATAGAAGACTCGAAGTGTGGCCCCTTAAGAAAACCTCCTGCTTCTGTTTGGGCGCACGGGCAGTATTTCAGGATTCACACAAAGCGAGTGACGAAGTGTGGAGCACATATATTTGGTGCCTTTTTGTACAAATGTTCATGTGTTTAAATAAATAAATAAATAAATACTTTCCAACAAGAACCAACACGAATATTTGTAAGAACCTACATATTAAATGATTATTTAATAATTAAAGTGGGTTTGTAGAGATTGTTGAATTTTATAGCTGACATCACAAAATGATACCAGTTAGACACTCATCAAAATCCAGGGAGCATTGGTCAGCTGTTATGTCTTAGTATGGAACTCCTCAGAAGTGTACATCCATGTTCTCGCACTGTTTATCGAAACCAGGACCTTCAGTTGTCGCTACAGACCAGGTAACGCAAACTGATTGAAGTTAGGAGGATAAGCGCTTAATACGACACCTAAATATCCTGGGCTCGATAAACGGTGAGACGACATGGATGTGTAATTCTGAGGAGTTCCCTACTAAGACATAGCAGCTGACCAATGCTCCCTGGTTTTGGATGATTGTCTAACTAAGATGAATCCGCGATGTAAAGTATGAAATTGAGGTAGTTATGTATACTGTTGACTTTCAAATAAGCAATCTTGCCTTTTATTTCATAAATTACATAACGTTAGGAAGATATATATATTATTGTCAGCATTACTGACTAACAAAAAGGATCCGATGAAGATGTAAAGGCAAGAACAAGCAAAGCAAGGTTATCATTTCTACAATTAAAGAACATTTGGAACTGTCAACCAATATCAAGTTGAGATTCTTCAATACGAACGTCAAGACAGTTCTACTCTAAGGAGTTGAAACTTGAAGAACTACCTGTGCGAGAGAACAAACCAGGTTCCAGATAAGGAGGAAATTGGGAAAAGATGCTGGGAGTGGATAGGATATAAATCGAGTAAATCAACAAACTGCATCAAGAAGCAAGCACCGCTCCATGAGGGGTAACGGACGTAAGTAAGTAAGTAAGTAAGTAAGTAAGTAGACTTTGTTGATACACGGATTATTCTTTGAGAGGATGATTTAATGTTATATAGTGTATCACAGAGTTGGAATGGTTAGCAATGAAGGTCAGGAAGCGTATTTCATCCTGTTTTCGGATCCTGTCAGTTGGATGTACTTGTATTCTAATATTGCTGTTCACGATAAGACACAAACCCAGTACTTATTGTTTCAAATATCAACGCATTATTTATCAAACTACTTGAGCTATGATAATATCAAATTGTATGCTTATTTCCGGGAGATGAAGATAATAATAAGCTAGTAGTTGTAAACTTTATACTTACTAACACTCGTTATCACATAAATTTCAATTATCGTTATTCAATAATAGAGACCTTATTGTAAGGTGACCCTAAAAACTTCCGATGTAATAATTAAAGGAAGGAAGAAATGATGAAGTTTTATAAGAGACAACTGACAGAAGATGTGCAAATGAAGTTGTTGTGGATGCAGAGGAATAGACCAATAATTATCATGTTAAGTCCAATGGTGTCCTTGGACTTTAAATGGATATTTTCTATTGGTCGATATCTGTTCACTTGTTGGATATTGTACAAAATGTTGTTTTCTATTTTATGGTACGATGTGGTGTGCTTGATTGGTATATAAACAAAGTATGTTTGAAATATAATGATTCATATCCCCGAGGCTGTGACTTGTGTTCTGGACTCAACTGACTGGGCTAGACAGGGAAGTTGGACCAATCGAGACTCTAGGCCGTCCGTACGTGTTTGCGTGTCATTGTAATCGATCGATAACACAGGGTAGAAATCTGCAACAACTTAAAGTCATAACAGAAGTATTTAATGTATGATTTTCGTATTTTACCAGGACATTCTGTAACCTTGCATTAACTAATAAATTGGTCTTTCCCTGCCTGAATTCTTCATTCCCTATAATAATTCACCAGATTCGAGTTACAAAAGACCCAGTCAGTCAGTAACAACGTAGAACTTCGTACGTATGT